GAGACAACAAGACGGAGAGCAGGATCAAGCAGTTCCTCGGGATTTCGAAGAAAAAAGCAAAGCATTCGGCTGAATGTAAAAGTAAAAACGGCCCAACCACCCACCCACCCACCCACCCTCCCAAACTTGTTCCAGGTTTTTTAGCGACCGCGGACAAAAATAAATTGATCGGTGGGTTTCTTATGGGACAAGGGCCACCATGTCTTGGTCCGGTTCGCAAAAAGAGTTGGGTTGGCTTGGTTTGCCACGGGAGAAGGGAAAAGGCTGAGCAAAATCCAGTGGTTGCTAGGATTCATACTGAACCCATAGCACCATGCCGTGTACGAGGAGTCCCTGTCTTCCAGGCAAGCCCAGATCTGGCGCTTCAAATAATGGCGCTGGTAAATCTTTTTGCCCACGGAGACCGACAGCACGCGACCCATCTGAGACTTGTTCCCCTCGGACTCGCTTCGGCCACTGGCTGCCTTATCAATGGGATCCGGCAAACTGTCCGAGGACCAATGGGACGTCCGCTCGGAGCCACGGCTGTTGTCATCCTGTCAGGAGAACATTCTGGGACAACCACAAGGCGGTGCGATTTGACTCCCTAGTGGTGACGTCCCCAGCACAAATTTGGACACGCATCTGAAAGGCTGGTTTGTCTTTGCCAACCAGCTGCAACTTCCGCACCGGTTGCAGTTGCGCCTTTAAGCTCCTGCAACTCTTTCCTGTTTGATATGCATTGCCTGAGGGTTGCTAAAGCCTCCATAAAGTGAAGCGAAAGCCAGGCGGAGACTTGTACTGCTCTCTTCCACCTGGTTTCAGGTTCCATGTGAACTTGCAGGGGATCCTTTCCCGTCTTTTTTTACCCTAAACTCTCTCCTTTCTCCTCATTTTCCCTACCCACCTCTTCCCCCTTCCCCCCTTTTCTACCTGTCACCTCCGCTTGTCCCAGAAAAAAATACCCGCCACTTCACCCGAAACACCCCCCCACACCCCAACTCAACCCCCTTGGCCACACCGACGCCCCCCAACCAAATCAACCAACGCCACCGGAGCGACGCCCACCGGCGCGGAGGCCTCCGCGCCGAAGCCCGGGGACCGAGGCAGCTCCGCGAAGCGCGGCGACACCTCCGGGGGCTTCCGCTCCGTGGCCTCCGCCAGGGCCTCCGAGGCGGAACTTCGCCGCAGCGAGTCCAGGGTCTCCTCCAGCGTCCTGAAACGAAGCGGGCTCGCGGACCGCGGGGAAGCCAGGCGTCAAACGTGGCTTTTGTTCTTGGGTGTTGTTCTTGTTGTCTGTGTTTTTTTGTTTCTGTTTCGATAATTATTTTTGCTTTTTGTTTGTTTAGGGAAGAGGAGCCCCAGAAGGAAAGAGAGATGTAGTTGTTGTGTGTTTGTTTGTTCTTCTTTCGGTGTGCCTCAAAATGGGGATGACTCCACGTGTTTTCGTGGTCTTCATTCGGATGCAAGGAAACCGCACTTTTAAAAAGGGTGCCTTTAACCTCAAATGAAACAGCCACACCCAAAGTTCCCCAGAGGTCCCGTTGTGAATACGATCCAAGGGCTGGTTCGCGCCGACCCTGAACGGGTTCCAACCAACTGCTCTGCACATCGACACAGAATCCCCAATCGGGGTTCCACCAAAAGGAGATCCCTCGAATACCCTTGAAGGTGTCCTTTTGATTGCTGCGGCTTTACAAATATAGCATCTTGCCATTCGAAAGGGACGCGAGGATGAGAACATTTCTGTAGGTGACCTTTTGGTAAGAAATAGATGGCCCTGGTAAATGAAATCAAACTAATCTAATGGGAACCCCGGACAAACAAACCCTAGCTTATTCATACTGTGGATCCATCCACAGCAGGGGGTTCCCTGGGAGGGATTCCGCACCTCCCTAGTAATCAGGACGCCAAAAGCGATGCATTCCCCATAGAAGGCAGCTCGCGAAACGGTCCACCCGCCTTTCATTCCATGAACATCCACCACAAAGCGCATCTAATCCATGAAAACCCATAAAACTTCCATGACATTTCCTTGAAAATTCCATGAAAATCCATGACAACCACTGACAATTCCATGAAAATTCCATGAGAAGTCCATGAAAATCCACCACAGACCCATCTAAACCATGAAAATTCCATGAAAATTCCATGAAAACTCCACGAAAGTTCCATGAAAATCCATGACAACCCATGAAAATCCCATGAAAACCCATGAACACCCCTGAAAAATCCCTGGATTTTCCATGGCCCATCCAAAAAAAACTCCACTCGTGAAAGGTCCTCAAGACCTCCAGGAGCTTCGCCTCACCCGGGCAAGAGGCCATCTTCTCCTGGAAAAAAAAAAAAAAACGAGGGCCATGGACCATACGGACGGACCATACTGTGGGTGGACGAAATCCTGCACCACTTTGAAACCATGGGAAACCCGTTATTTGTTGGCATTTGCAGGGGAATCTTCATTCCAGGGCTTCTTAGGCGGTGCAGAATTTCGTTCATCCACAGTAGGAAAAACCCGAGGAAAAAAGGGGCCATGGACCACGGAATGATTGAAAAAACATGCAAAAACCTGGCTTGAAACAAGGGCCACACGGACCATACGCCCGGTGGGACAAACAAGAACAACGCAACCAGGGCCATATAGGGACCCTGGAATGTTTGAAAAAAAGCGCAAACCTGGCTTGAAACAGTGGGTTCAAGCGCGGTGTGAACATATTGAGTTTGTATTTGGGTGTTTTCTTGTTATTTTACCTTTCTTTTCTTGTTTCGGTGGACATCATGGTTTGGATGAGATTCGTGCTGTTCCAAGCATTAAAATTCATAGCCGATGATTTGAGGGTATGCTTGGGGGTATTGAACGAAAACCAAAGGGGAACCCACCCGTTGTTTGGGCCCAGCATTCATATCCATGTCAAGTCCATGTCAAGTCATAGGGGCCCGCAAAATATACATCAAGAAGTGAAAAGGGTAGCAACTCCAAAGAAAACACACACACACATACGGCAAACAAACGCAAATATTGGGAGCTGCAAGGGTCGCGTAGGGAAATCAAGCCGAAGCGCGCTTCCCATCTTCGGGGATGGCCCGGCTCCGCAAAGTGCCATGGATTGTGTCGCTTCTCCAACGTACCCTGCCCACGAACATGGAACCCAGAGGTTCCACTTTAAAGGAAACTGGTCTTCCAGCTCGAAGCGTCAGGTTCCATGTTCATGGACGGGAAGGTGCCCTGCGAGGAGGTTGATCCCCGAACCCAAGTTAGCAGGTCGGACATTAGCGGACGGTTCCCAGTACACAGATGGGTGGGTCTGTTTAATACCGACCCAAAGGCAACACACTATAAATTGGCCTAAAGGTCGATGTTTGAAACCAAAAGAGAAGTTGGTGATTCTGCGGCTGGAATTGAAAGCATTCAGGCTCAGTTGGTCCAGGCAAATCTATATGGGTGTGTCTTTTTGTGGGGGACCCACTCCTTTTGGTTTCCCTTGAAACCACCAAAAAAGGGCGTACCAACTCCACAAAAAAAGGGCAAGCCATCCAAATCGCCCTGACTCATGCCTCTTTCCCTTAAAACCACCAAAAAGGGGTACCAACCTCCCAAAAAGAAAAAAAGCCGAGCCGTCCAAATCGAGTTGGAACCCACTCATCTGCCTCCATCTTGCCGAAGGCTGCCTGCAGCGTGGACTCCAAGCGATCCAGTCGCCGGACCACCAGGTCCATGCCCTCTATCCTGCCGCGACCCTTTGGACATCAGTCGGGTGGGATTCTTGTCCACCAACAACCTTTGGGGGGGTTCCCGACAAAAACATGTAACATAGCCAAATGGGTGTGCGTGTGTGTGAAAGTGGATTTCCCTTTAAACTAACCCCTGGAAAAAGGGACCCTCCAAAAAACGCAAGCCCAACTGGGGTCTGTAGCTTTTGTTGGCTCCGCACCCGTATCACTTTTGACACATACCCAAACGGTCTGCAAAAGTATTCCTTTCATCGCTGGCCACGCCAACGGATCCGACACATCAACTCGATGCAGTCAAGTCAGCGTCCTGGCCTGTTCTGTCCCCGTTGACGTGCGGAATTCCGCAAAATTGGTTGTGGTTCTTTGTCTTTCGTCTTTTTGGTTGCGGGTGTGCTTTCTTCCGGTTTTCAGGGAAGCATAAGAAGAGCCTAGCTGGGGGTTGGAATCCACCGAAGGTAGGGAAACCCAGCTTAAGCCTGGGAAATGAAGTGCAGAAGAGTTCCATTAAGAAGAGGGCATGGTGAGAACCGGCAGGGTCCCTTCGGGAATGACCCCTAACCATCCCTTGTTGGTTTCCTTTCAGGGTTCCGGTTTGTTCCCAAAACCCCTCACAGGATTCCCTACTTTTTACAACCAGCAAAACACATACTGTTGCATGAAACCAAGTGGCATGTTGGTCTAAAGGCTAGGTTCCACCTGCTTTCACCCTCAGGCTGCTTTTTTGCTAGGGGAAGCAAAACCGAAGAACCCCCGAACCACCCCCTTTGTTCTTCCGACCAAGGCGCCCGCAGGAGGATTTGCTGCTCTGCTTGGACGGAGACGTCTGCCTGGTGAAGGTGAGCAGCTCCAGCGTGGAGCCCCGCACCGACCTGCTCCGCAGCCGCCCGGTGGGCGAGGCCTCCATCGCGCCGCGCGACGCGCGACGTCGGCCGCGTTCGGGCGGGCGGAGGGCCCTGCCTGGGCCAAAAGGAAAGCTGCGGTCCGGAGATGGGACAAAACGAACTTGAAGGGGGTTCAAGGAAAATTATGCGATGTTTGTCGAAATTCAAACATGAGGTGAAGATGCGGGTTCAATGAAGATTCTTAGGTGGGGCGTATCAATTGAGTCGATGCTTTTGAAGCGGCAAGCACGCTGTGTACCCTCCAAAGGCACCCAATGTCTCCTGTCATCCCTATAGCAGGTATCCACTAATGTCAGGGAAGACCATCATTACCCTTTCAATTAGCTGTATAGTGGTTCTGCATCCCGTTCCCCTGGGGGGCAGCTATGGAGCCACTGACAAGCGCGCCTGAGATGCTGCTCCCGCCTGAAGCACCCCGCATCCAGGCCAAGGAGCGAAGAAGAGGGCTTGATGACTGCAAATTCAGATGGAACCCAAAAAGTTGGTCCATCTCCTGAAAGGAGTTCCTCAAAGGATGCACGTTGGTTCCATGTTAATCTGCAAATACCCCAAGCAAGACTCAAACCCAGGGGTGGCTGTCCCCAGCACCGATGCCTGAGTTTAAGTCCAACTCAAGTGAAGCCCTGAACGCTGCCAAGTGACATCGCCGGAGGGCCTGTGAAGGTTGCAAGCTGGATTGTGGCAAGCAAAAGGATTCTCCTCACCTGTTCAGTTGACTAATTAGCATGAAACATAGTAAAACATGTTGGGCCTTGGCTCAAATGAAGCACCTCACCAAAGCTTCAAGTCTGCCAACTCCACAACTAAGTCTCTTGATGCCTGTCTGCCTGTCGGCCTGTCTGTGCAAGGCGCTTATGCGGGTCCCAAAAAAGGGGTTACGATGTCATGGATGCATCACACCTTTCGCATCGCGCATGGACGCATCGCGGCGGAGAAAAAGGAGCGAAAAAAAATACCAAAACACCGTCCTGGCCGACTGAGCATCACTTTCCTGGCATTCGCCAGGTCGAAAGCGGCGAATGAGAATGCATCAAGCTGTGCAAGTGGGGTCCTCGACCAAGCGCCTGCGCTTTGGCGAAGAATCCTCAGGGTTCGCAAGCTCGAGGCGGCCGGGTTGCACAAGTTGAAGCTGACTGAGCCGAGTGCGGGAAACGGCCATGGACCCTTTGTTCAGGTCACCCCACATGGCTTCTAACCAACAGTTGCATAAGCTTGTTACAAAGGGCAATGAGATGGCAACCAAACGCAAATGACCACATGGGATCTGTTGTTTTAGTACCATGTGTGGTGTGTTGGTGTGAGAAAATTAATGGACAATCACCATCTGGGGGAGAATGTCCGTTGTTTTCACCCATACCGCATGCAACCGCTTTGGTTTCCCAGTCCGCCAAAACCAGGCCTCCATCGGAGGTCGCTTGCCCACTTGGCGCATGCGTTGCGGCGTAGCTTGGGGCTTCTCGGACTCAGGCTCCTGATCCGGGAAACGCCGCCAGAGCGAGAGGCCGACATGTTTGGGTGACCTCAACATGGATATGTCCGTTTTTTTTGTTGGTGGTCTTGAAGGGAAGCCAAAAGAAAAAACCGAGATCCATTTTGGGGGGCCCCCTAAAAGAAGGAAACACCCAGGTAGGCTGAGGGAATCATCCTGGCAAGTCTGTCTCTTGAATTGGTTGCCTTTCGAGGAGCTTCGAAATGTTTTTGGGGGGGCGAGGTTGAACCGCAGAAAATGCGGGAGCTGTTTCTTCAGGCATGTCACTTTAATGGGCCTAGAATGACCCAGTTGGGTGTGGGTCAAAAAAGTGTACCCAAAATGGCTTGCCCTGGTAAATGGAAACATGGACTAAAACCTGCGGTCCCTTGGTGGTTTCATTTTGACCCATATGGCCACTGGACAAAATTGGCTCCGATCGGTGGCTGAGCTAGCGGCTCCCTTACCACCGGCTAGCCACTTACCACTGACGTGGGGGATACTGTAGATGGTTGTGAAATCCACAAATCGCACCACCTAAAAAACCCTGGGGTGATGTTTCCCCTGAAAATACCAACAAACAATGGTGTCCAATGGTTTCAAAGTGGTGCGAAATGGATTTCGGCCATCCACAGTAGTTGCGCCACAGCATTCGTCTTTCCCATAGTTCTTCTCACGCCGACTCATTGAATTCATGGTCCATGCGATCCACGCATCATTCGAAGCATCTCTCGGCCTTGCCGCCTTGCACTAAGAAACACTGGGAACCACACATCCTCCCATTCCCATTCCTCCACAAATGGTGGATTCAAGTCATCTCCATGTCCCCTTGGCACGAAAAGCCCAAACTCGGTGTCGCGAGTTTGGGACAAAAAGTTGGACTCGGACCTCCAGACTGGCTGATTTCCCTTACATCCCCCAACAGAAGCACCCCAAAATGAAGGGTCTGCAGGAAGAGCTTTGCTCTCCAAAAACTGACAAGGGAAGCTCCCCCCATTTTCAGGACGCATGGGCTCGGCAGCTCTTCTCCGGACGAAACCCCAAAAGCACAGGTCCCTCCGTTTACTCACAGGTCCCGGCAGGCCTTGCGCAGGTTGGAGGCCAATACGTTCTTCACCCCGTCCTTGCCCAAGGCCCAAAAAAGTGCCAGGGGTTGATTCCTTCTCCATTCTTTTCAACCATCCTTCTTTTCAAAAACCGGATCTGTTTCCCCTGGGTGGTTGATGGTTTCGTGAAAAGAAGGAGCCCTGGAAAGAATGGGGAAGATACCCCTGGAAAAACATTACTCGCATAGACCGCAGAGAGCGAAAAACCTGCCAAGGATTGCACAGAACCTCCAACAGAACCCCCGGAACAGCGCCCCAAACAGCACTCCCACCATCAAGCACAAAGCGTCGCACCGTCACCAGCACCTCAAACAACACCAAAACCAGCATCCCAAAAAAGCACTTGAAAGGACTCCCAAACTGCATGCCCCCTAGCACCCTGCCATCAATCTCGCAACATTGCGCCCGCTTAGTCACCCAACAACAGCACCCCCAAACAGCACTCCGAGCACCCGGCCGTCAATCTCGCAAAAATGCTCACCACTTCAAACAGCACCACCAAACAGCGTCCCAAAACAGCCCCTGCGCCAGCACCCCAGACTGCATGCCCCCTTTGGCACCGAGCCGTCAATCTCGCAAATCGTTTTCCCCTCTTTATTAGAAGTTGAAACCCCTTTTGCTTTTAGCTATCTGGGGAAAGACGCGTGCTCCGAGCTCCAAAAGCTCCAAACACTGAAGAACGTCCTTCAAGGGGACAGAACGGGCAGGTAGAAAAGAGAGCCCAAGCAACTAAACCCATGGGCTTCTTCAGGAAACTTCGGACATCAAAACCTCTTTCAACACCAGTTTCACCCAAATACAGTCTACACACGTTCTTCATCCAAAAGTCTTTCAGCACACATTCCATCCAAAACAAGGCTATTGGAAACTGTTTAACCCACACTGCTTCACCCACAAGAGCAAACACAAAATGGTCTGGGGAATTTGAACGCCTGTTTCGGACACCTGAAACCTTTCAACACCCATTCGTTGACGCGAATGCCAGGTTCGGCTTCTGGTTGGTTCGCCCTTGAATCCACACACAAGATCTGAAGCACTTGTCGAAAATCAAGGGAGTAGTTCCTCTGAAATTGCCGGGTGTGTTGTTTTTTGAGTCGATTCTTCGGATGGTGTCAAAGAAACTAGAGGCCAACCACCGATGTGCTTTTGTCCCAAAATAGGCCCCAAGATTGGTGGTGTTCCTTTGGTTACCCTTCAAACCAAGGTAAAATGGCTCCCAACTCCAAAACCAGAGACACCCATCTTAAGGTTTCCACGTTTCCACGTTTAGACTCGCACCCATCTGCCGAGCAGTGCTGACCCCGTATTAAATCAACCCCAGTTTATCTGGGGGTGCTCCCCTCCAAAAGTGATGATTCCCCACTAAAACCAGGGACCCCTAAATAAGCTGGGGCTGACTAGCGTGGGGTCAACATTAGTACCCTCCCCCGTGCTAACATGGAAGCTCCCGAACGGACCCCTTCGGAAGACTTCATTCCATTTACAGAGGCCAATTGGGGGAGCTTCCACTTGTCTGAGGGAGTGTAGTCCCAAAGCTCCGTCCAACAGTGTTCGGCCTCGAGAGCCACCTGCCACCGCTGCCGCGCTCCGTCGAAGGACACCTGGGATTTTGGGATTTTCGCCGCGGGCCCCGCGATTTTCTCAGCCTTGTGCTTCCTAGGGTTCAACCCCGATACGGTGACCCAATGAAGGCTGAAGACCCCGAACAGCTGACAATGAAGGGTGACCTACATTGGACTTCAACCATTTCAAAAAAGAGGTTGACCTATTAGGTGGCAGCGAAAGCACGAGCATGGAGAACAGTGGTGATGGTTGCTTTGGTAACAGCGAAAGCACGAAGAACAAGAGTGTTGATGGTTCTTGTGGTAGCGAAAGCAAAAGCAGCACCAATGAGAACAAGAGTGGTCGCAGTTCAGGCGGGACCCCTCGCTCCTAGGTGACCCCAATTGGGTGACCTACATTGGACTTCAACCCCCATTTAAAAAAGAACGGTGGACTCAATTTAGATCACAAATCCTTTGGGTGGTTCGGTTTGGAGGTTTGGTGAATGGGTTCCCAACTTTACCCTCTACAACCACTGTAGATGGACAAAATCCATTTCGCACCAGATCGAAACTATGGATGAAACCATAGCATTTCTTGGTATTTAACTTCAGGGGAATCGAATCATTCCAGGGGGTTCTTAGGCGGTGCGAAACGGATTTTGGAAAGTGTTTCATCACATAATACAGATTCGCGACAAACAAAAACAACCTGTGAATGCTATTTGGCGAGCGGGAAAATGCACATGCTCAACCGAAAACAAAGGACGGCTCACCAACACGAAGCCTGAAAAAGTTGTCAAAACAGATGTTTAAAGTTTGGTGAATGGGCATGTGTCGCAAATGGGCATTGGAACCCAAAGCCCGATTTCAGTTCTCCCTGCGTTTCCCTTTACAACCACCCCAAGAAGGGCATCCTCCGAAACGCACACCTCCAGACGGGAAAAAGGGGATGGAAAGGCTTTGGACATAGCCAACACCAAAAGGTGATTGCCTGAATCCCAAAAAAATAGGAACCTTGCCTCCCCCAAAAACATAGAAGTCCAGATGCGTCCTTCTTCAAACCTTTGAAAAACCTTTCCCCCTCAAAAAAAAGGTGGCCGGTTCGTTCGCCTCCCCCCCCAAAAAAAAAGAAGAAGAAACACCGCCGCCGCCGCCAAAGGGCCGAGCGCTCGCCCCCCCCCTCGCTTTCTCGGCCGGGCCGCGACCTTCCCCCGGCGCCCGTTGAGCGCGGCGAAGGCCTCGAGCCCCACGAGGCGCACGGAGTCCCCGACCTCGCGGCATCCGAGGCGCGAAATCGGCGGGGAGTTGGCGTCGCTGGGAGTCCCCGGGCCCGTCTTCCCCAAAAAAAGAACGGAAAAAACCCGTGGGCGGAGAAGGGGAAACCAAAGGTGGTGAGGAAGAAAAAAAAAAGAAAAGGAAGGTGAAAGAAGGGAGACCACCGGGAAACCAACAGCCCGACATGGTCCTCAAAATGTTGAGACACACCCGCAGTTTTGCGGAGATTGGGACCCTTGGTAGTGTGTGTTGCTACTCTTTGTCCATGTTCCATCCAAGTGCTGACCGCATGGCGGACGCGTGTTTCATTGAGAATAGCATTACTTACAAACAATAAGTATAAATGTACATATTGTGTGTGTGTGTGTTTGTTTAAAAAGGGATAACAAAACCCTGGGTATTAACTAATTACTTATTGTGACTAACAAGGTTTGATATCCATCTGCCCAAACCCGGATCAGTTGCAAACGGAACAGGTGTAGGTTAGCGTTGTCGCACTGCGATGCGTAGTCAGCATGGCCACCGGCTTTTCAAGCCACGGATTGACAGCCAGCCGCTCATGGTGCCAACAAAAAGATGCAAAGCAAAACGGGTTGTCTTGTGGCTTTATGCTAAGACGGTCTGCGCTGCCAGTCTTCTTACGGAAAATTTGGGGGTACCATCATGTTTTGTCCGTGGCTTCGTTGCTCCATAACTCTCGCACTGAAGTTCTCCAGACGTTTATCTCATGCTTTGCGAGTGAAGAAGCGATATCGCCAAAATGGCTGCAGAATTCGTCCTTTTCTTGTTCGCTGCGTTTTGCCTGTGGAGCACACGATAAAAGCCACATGTGTTTTCACGGGTGTTGAAAGCTGCGAGCACCCTTCCTGCCGTTGATTTGCTGGACATGTCCCTTGTACCTCGCTAGCTGTGGGAATGAATACACTATTCCCCCGCCATGCTCTTCAGCATCTGGATTGCATAGCTCGAGTTCCGTGAGGCTTGCTGCGGTTGGAGTCTGTGTTGTTCCCGTTTTTGGTTAGCGCGAGATTTCTGAGCACGCGTAGCATCCGCAGAGAAACGCAACATGTACCCATCATGTACTTCCAATGAGCTTTTATTGAGCCTTGCTTCTTGCACTGCAAGTATGTCTATCATATGTTCCTTCATGAAGTGGATGATTTGCGCTCGCCCGGAGAAGTGTGTGATGCCCCCCGTCGAGATTGAGAGTTGCTACGCCAGCCTGCCGCCACTGCAGTTGTTCTTGTCTTGTTGGGCCAGGTGCTGGCTTTTGAGGTCTTGCGTTCTTGGTAGTTTTTGTGCTTGCAGTTTAGCAAAGCAAGGTATTGTTGGGCTGCATAAGTGTCACAAAGCACAGCCTCAAGCTAACACACTTCCTCAGCCACCGGTATTCCCGATGCGTTGCTCAGTTGGCTCGTTTGGCTCGTTTATATCGTCACTTCTAAGAAGGCCCGACTTGGGACCCCTCCGTACACAAAAAACACAGGGGGGATGAGAATTACGAGCTGCTCAGAAACAACCAAAGTGAAGGTAAGCGGCTCCCTATGTTCCCTTCAATATTCAACCAAAGTGAAGGGAGTACACTCAAACACACACACACACACACACACACACACACACACACATAAACCAGGGCCCTCTGCGTTTTAAGCAAACCAACCAAAAAGGACACCTATGCACACACACATTGCACCCCGCCTCCAGAGCCGATGTTCTCGGCTTCGCTGTGCGCACTCGGGCGCCGTTGCTCGCTGAGGTCTTCGCCTTTGCCTTCGCCCTGGCCACCTGAAGCATCTGCACAACCGACCCCTTCAGGCGAAGAAAACAAAATAGAAGAAGAAGAAAAAAAATCCTAATAATAATAATAAAAGGTGAAAAGTACGGGTTCCCGCAAGGGCATTGGTGAGTCTCCTGGGTTCTTGTGGACACGCCGTCCCCCTCCACCCCGCTGATGTCCCTCCCAAAACCTCCCTGCCCCCTCCGTGGCACTAAACCTCATATCCTGACATCCTGTTATTTTTGGTGAGCTCCCCGGTCAAAACGGTGAACCCCCAAAAAAGGTTGCTGTTTTCAGAAGGGTTTCACCCCCGAGTGATGTCCCTTTCAGGTAGCCTCCCAAGCTGTACCGGCCCAGGTTGGTTTTCCTCGGGTCTTGTACAATTTCATGGGGTAAATCCCCATGCCCAAATCAATGAGCTGGAGAAATGACGAGTGGCGAACATCACTGCTTCTCAGTCTCACAAAACAGAACTCACATGGCTGTGGTTGTCAAAAATAGGGTCACCCCACAATGGCACCCTGGTAAATGGAAACAATGACTAAAACCTGTGGTCCAATTCCTGGTGGTTCAATTTTGACCCATACATGGGATCCATCCCTGAAAAACTCGGCCAAGACCCCGGCCATCCTTCAATCCCCTCGAGGCCGCGCTCCTGGCACGGCCGATGTCCGTCCGAAGCGAACGCGAGCGACCGATCTCCAGCCGCTCAGCCCCCGGCCTTCAGAGCCGAGCTTCATAGGCCACAGGCGGCGATAGGCAAAGAAAAACAAACGAAATTCGGGCTGACGGTATGTGAATGCTCTTAGGCTACACATGGAAGTGCATCAACATGGTTCAGAGATTGCTTAATAGTCAAGTGAGCAGTGTTTTTTTCAAGAATCAAGTGAGAAAACGGCTGGCTGGCTGACATGCTGTTTCATCTGAAATCGGTGTGGACTACCTCGCGTGTAAACCTTCTGTCGCATCAAGTCGCATCGTCGCATTGATCCAACCCCGACGAAGCAAGCAAGCTGACAACCAATAAGCAACACAGAATGTCTGCGATGTGGGCAAGTTGCTTGCCTTCAGTCGCCCTGTCACAAGCAACCACTATGCAAGTCATGGGTGCCCCGCAGGGTTGCAGAAGTTGCCGCGCAGGAAGGCACCTAGGTCAGGCGGGTGCCACAAACTGCGGACCTCCGAAACAGCGCTCGATGGCTCGCCTGCAGCCACACCAACTCCAGCCGCTCTCCATGGCACCTGAGATGCTTCGATCAGGCGTCAGCCTCAGTCGCAGCCTGCTGGCCTCATGAAGTGGCGAGCGACCCCGCTCTGCTGGCCTGCGAGGCGTCTGTCGGCAATCTTAGGCGCGGATATGCGTGGAAAGCAACCAACGTAGCACATACTGAACCCCATCCTTGAAGCAGGCTTGCATTCTCCATCAATCAAGCACAAGTGGATGCCAACAGGGCATCCATCAATCAAGCACAAGTGGCAGCCATACCCTTGTGCAATGAAAGATGTGCAACACAGTTGCCTGAGTTTGGATCTATTGCTTGGCCAAGCTTGTGCCTTTTCCTTCCTACAGGATATGGCATATGACCATGTGAGAAAACCACTGTGCAACTTCATTCGGAGCCTTCGGACGGTCCTGGGCCACCGAGAAGATCTAGAAGTCATTGGCCCCAGGACATTGGCTCGCTTTTGGACTTTGCAAATGTCTTTTACGACTCCGATTTTTGAGGACTTTACCCTGTGACTTTGCAACTACCATCTGTTTGGACTTCTTAGGACATGTCCAAATGGTATTTTGGTGAGTGACATGGATCGCGGTCTCCCTTTCACTACAGATGTCAGCAAATGTTGACCCTTGCTCACGTAGGATTGTTGGAGGTACCACCAAACACGGGAGCAAGGGTGGAGCAACAAATGATTCAAAAACTAGGAGGTGGTTTCAACAAGAGGTGTCTTTTTTTCTCGTGGAGTAACCAGGGAGTTGAACCCCAAGCCCAAGCCCCAGCCTGTGTGCCAAAGGCACAGCACATGGCCTTGCCTCAGTCGGATCTTGGATCGGATTGACGCAACGAATGACGAGGCGACCGGACGACCCTGTGTCAGAAGTATTCATCTAGATTCCTTAGATTTCCGGTGGCTGGTCTCTGAGAGAAAAAACAAAAACTCTCAGAAGTCATAAAACCATCAAGAGGGGCTGCAGAATACCTGTCTCGTGCTGGGCAGCCAACTGCGGGCAGCATCATGGTGAATAGACAATCCGATTGAACCAATGCTGCAGAAGCCATCGTGCGTCCGCATGTCGTCTGTTGCAAGAGAACCTGAAGCTCGCACGAGCAATGCTTGTCACCCTGCCATGAAACACCTTTGGTGCGGACACCAATGTGCATAGCTATATATATATATGCATATGTGTGCGTGCATGGATTAAAATGTATCCCAAACAAACAAAAAACTTGAAGTCAGGGCTTGCTCGAGCATGTCATTTTACACATCATGTAGCAGATGGAACATGGTTGTCGAATGTGATCTTGTGTGCAACTCGGAAATCATTCAGTGAATTCGGAATTATAAGAACAGAGTATCTTTTAGTTCAAGGCTTCCACTCGACAAACATACCCAAGCAAATTACAGCTGCAAGCAAGGTATACCATACTTGCATCCAAGAAATGCTAGTACATGCCATGAAGACATACGAGCAAATGATCGTTTTGCATCCGTGCTGCAGCTCAGAAGTTTTATCAAAACTCACACTGCTGATTCAGCCGGCTTCGTCCCCTTAGTACGCACATATGGCTAAGGTGCTGCCACAATACTGCAATTCCAATGTTGCAGTGAAATCCAAACTAAACTAGCACCAGCACCAGCAAGTGGATGCAAGCTTATATTGTTGTCCAGGCAACGTTGTTAACAGCTCTTGTCATGTTTGTGTTCAACATGCCCGTACCCCCAGTGAACATTCCAATCCCACTAAAACAGGTTCTAAAATGGGTGGTGAATTCACCTACCAACCAAAATGGGATCCCAAAACGGTTTTGACAGCCACTGCCATATGTAGAAGTTCAGGGCCTTACTCAAAAGTGATTCAACACAAGTGGCGACACTTCAGAAGCCCAGCATAGCATTCAGCCTGCAAAACATGGCGAGTTCCAAGTTTGTCATTGGGCATGTCACCGGCTGTAGAGAACTGGTTTATTGGTTCCATGCGTTGAAAGTTCTTCGGTTTTTGGGACAAGGTGGGAACAATCTGTTGCGCAACATCCTGTAAAACATGTTGCAACAAGTCTTAAGAAGTTTTAAGACGCAGGTTTAACATGGTTAACTGGAGGGGGAAAAGGGGGGCTGGGGACTCCTTGGTCAGTCTCAAGGATGGGTGCTTCAAAGGCTTCCCAGGCCACAAGGGCCCCAACCGCGACCACAGATTTGCTTAAAGCCTGCTGCTCAAGTAGTTGTCGGGTTGCACATGACCGCGAGCACTACAGTACAGAATAAAAAGGTTTAGGATGAAGAAGTTTCGAATACAAAACAAAAAGACTGCAGATTTAACAGATGCTTGCTTAGCAGTTCTTTTCTAAACTTAACCGTCTATCGAATGCAAGACATAGAATATACAGGTGTTCAAATGCAAAGACTGCAGATTTAGCAAATAATTGCTTAGCCTTTGCCTTTCAAGCTTTGTTACATTGGGCAGTATGACACAAAAAAACAGCAAACGAGTGGATGTTGGTAGGACTTTAACATGTAGGTGTTGGAGGGGGGCGTAGATAAATACATTACATATATACACATATATGCCATCAAGAGTATGGTTGAAATCCAGCAATGTCCGAACGGAACCACACACACACACACACGCGCGCGCATGGCATGATGCAAGAGTGGGATTGCAGACTTTGGCGCAAAGCATCTTCATTCATGCAGCAGCACGCGGCTCACTCTGTGAAGCGGCGTGGTGGACTCTCTACAAGCGCGCCCAAGCGGCGGCCTACGGCGTTGAGAAACCAGCGGTGGATCCTAGATTTGCCAACCCCAGGAATATATGTTTTTGGGTTCTTGGACGTGTTTGACTACTTTATGCAACAACAACAACAACAACAACAACAACAACAACAACAACAACAACAACAACAACAACAACAACAACAACAACAACAACAACAACAACAACAACAACAACAACAACAACAACAACAACAACAACAACAAGGCCGCCATGGGGGCTCTCATTAGCTTCTTACAAACATTTTGACTAGCTTAGCTGGCCAAATGCCTGCTGTCTCTTTGCAGCCAGCTTCCACAATCTGACACAATGGGTCGCGCTGGCCCGAAGGATGTGTCAAACCCGGAACCTTTGTACAACGTATGCAACTTCACACATGCAAAGCGGTTTGTCGGGTCACCACGTGGAGCCACAAACCGCTTGATGTCCTTAAGGCAAAGGAAATCGGTTGATTTCTCACAGCGATACCCTCCAAGGCTCCTCCAAGCACACCTCCGTGCCCAGACCTCCGGCTGAGCTGGGCTTGCCGTCCTCCTTGTCAGCCCTCCTGTAGTCTTCCATGTCTTCCGACAGTATTGTTGTCATACGGCTTGGTCGCGCCTGAAAGTCGTGCGCAGGGCCCAAGTCCAAGGATGACTTCGAGCTCGAAGTAAAGGATATGACTTGCCCAAACTCCGAGTCAGAAGACCCAGAGGCACCACGAAGGAATGGCGCCGATCCCTTCAGCACGTTCACCAAGCTGGTCCGTGCCCAACTCAGGCGTTGCGAGCTGTCAATGGAGCCCGCCCTCTCGGGCCGGCTCTCTGGCTTCTCTACCCCGAGCATAGTGAAGAGATCGCTATCCAGGAGGTCGCTACGCACCTGGTTCGCATCCGCCAAGGCCCTCAGCATCTCCACATAGTTCCGCGCATAGAGGCTCACCAGCTTCAAGGTGTCTTCGTGCTTGGCCACGGCCTCTGCAAAGGCGTCACTGTTGATGGCGACCAGTTTGCTGTGGGCCAAGGACACAAAGTCGCCCTGGTTGTGCCACTTGTCCACCCACAAGCTCGCCTCGCAAAGGTAGGTGCCCTCTGAAAGCTCGTAGGTGCTGAGAATCCCCTCTTGGGCCTGCAATGCCCTGTGACCCCGTAGCAGATTCCGCATGCGGTTTGCAGCAGAGCGAGTTTGCAGCTCGAAGTCCAAACCACAAATGGCCAGCCAGTTTTTGAGGCCAGTGTCCTTGCTGTAGACCAGCTTCCGACCATCCACAAAATACATCTGGTGGCACACGCTGCCCTTGGCAAAGATTGTCTCCATGTGCCGGGTGGGCTCCTGCTTCACAGCGGTAATCAGCACGTTGCGCATCGCCGAGTAGAATTCGCCGCGAAGAAGGCGGAAGAGCGGGTGATGCACAAGCAAAGGAAAGCGCACCTCTGACAGCAAATCCGCCTGGGTCTGCAGCGGCAAGAGACGCAACAGCTCCTTCTCCAAGTTCATGTCGCTCTCCAAATTGGTGCGGTCCTCAATGTGGCGCCTTGCCAGGTAAACCGTTGTCCATGATAAGTTGTGCACCTCGTTGTATCTCTGCAAGAGCCGCTTGTAACCTGACTCCTTGTCCATGAGCTGTTGCAGCTGAAGCATTCGCGAGGTGAGGCTTGACACGAAGATGGACATGAAGATCAGTGTAAAGCACGCGGCAAAAGCCACATACGACATCTCCACGAACGTCCGATCCTGTCGATCGGTTCTACCGTTCAGCTGCGCCAACGTCCAGCGAACCGCCGCAATGTACCTCACCAGCACGGACTGATCCAAGAAGTTCTCCTTCTCCACCCAGCCTCCAGGCGTGTAGAAGCCTACAAAGTGCCAGCCACAGCTGAAGATGTGCACCGCGAGCAGCAGGAGCGCCGTCAGCTTGGCGACATTGAACAGGATGAGCAGGCGCAGTGAGCCAGTCATCTCCGTGAACTTGTGCAAGGTCTTCACGAAGCGCGCCAGGCGGATCAGGCGTACCACGCGCACCACGCGCAGCACGCGCACGGCGCGGGCAGCGCGGAAGGCATTGAGGCCGTTGACGAACTCTGTGATGCGAGATGCCCACTCGGAGCCCACAATCGTAAAGTCGATAATAAACCAAGTCCGCAGATAGTTGCAGGCAACCTTCTGCGGGTTCATGATGACGTCTGGACCCCGAATGTATCCCGTCATAAATGTGATAGCCATGTCCACGGACCAAAAGATCGTGCAAATCCATTCCAGAACTAACATCTCCGCCATGTCTTCCATATTCATGCCGTAGATCATTGGCAGCATGATCATGTCCAAGCTAATCATAATGACGCTGATGCTGTCCCAGATTAACCTCCTCCTCGATTGCGGATGGATCATCGCCCTCTTGTTGCAGCAGCACCTGCTTCGGCATGAACACTTGGCCTCTTCGCTTTCGAAGCAGCTTTCTTCTATGGATTGACGTCCTTGAGAAGTGTCCCGCCTGAGCGCGTATCTCTCCACGCAATTTTCCAAGAAGTCCTGGAAGTCGTTGTTCTTGCCTTTCTCCGCATGCTCAGTCCAGGGATCCCGGGGCACATAGTGCTGGGAGACTTGCCGAGACATCTGTGCAAGGGTCTTGGTGGACGTTATTGCGTGCTCCTTCAAGTCTTGCAAGAAGGAGGGCCGCTTCTTCCGGACGACCGGACCCTCATCTTCTTCTGACACTGTAGACACCGTGGAGCGCAAGTGAAAGTTCACCTTGCGCTCGGCATGCAGCTCCTCTGTCGGCGGCAACGACTGGGAAGGCAGATGCGTCAACGATGCCTTCGAGAAGGTGCGCGAGAGTCGCGCTGGATCCTTGCCATACTCTTGCAGTTTCTGCCTCACTTGCCCAAAGGAGCTGCAAATACAAGGTTCACCTCTTGGGACCTTTACCTAAAAATGGACCAACATGGGAAATCCAAAAGGTTACAAGGTCAATTCGCTTCGGGCAAGCGAGCTGCACGTGCTCATTCACCTCCTGCAGACCGGTGCCAATCTTCCGAAGAAGCTCCTCAAAGGTCTCGGCAGGTCCAAATTGCATGATTCGGTTCTCAGCCAAGCTCTAATCGATCCAAAAGTTGCCCGTGTCCGGGGTTCGGGAAAGAGCAAAGGCCAGCTCGTTTGGCTTGGTTTCCTTGCCTTGCCCGGTTTTCCTGGCTCGTTCGAGTGCAACAATTTGGGCAAGTGAATCACCTCACAATGTGGTTTGGGGGCGGTTGGCAGTTGGGCTGAACATGTTGTGATTGATGAACAATGCTAAACGGCTGCAATCCCGAGACGCCATAATTGAAGACAATGCAAACATCCCAGTTGCACCGATGTCCATGGATCTGAAGGACTAAATCGCAGCGCATTTGCACGCCGGTATGTCGCATCGTGAAAAGCAAGAGTCTGAAAGTTTTGCCACAACTGTCGCCGAGCCCGTTCACTCCCCTCGTCTATACATTGAAATGCGAAAATACGCAGCTGCGGAACGAGATCATGCGAAACAATGACAACGCGTCCTTTGAAAACAATCATATTCAACAAATGATTTGGAACAGAGCAGGCCTTTGTCATGTGTTTTGATTTCTTCTTCTCGAACCCAGGCTGACAAATCACATCGAATTCCCGTGCCAAAGTCTTGAGTTTGCCACATCGCCCCAATTGAAATTATGCGAACAGGTGAAGCAAAAACTCGCTCCGACGACACAACAATCGGTGTCTCGTCGTCAATCCCAGCCTAGCAAAAAAACATGTAAGCGGAGCGGCAGGGACACAAACTGTTCAATTCCGAACTGTTCTGGAGTTTCGGTACATGTTTGCCTGAATGGGTTCAGTAAACAAAAGTCCGCCGTCTGCAAGCCGGCACCAGGAATGAAGGGCAACCCAGGAAAAACACGGAACAGCAAATCGGCAGCAGTTCGCCAAACCTGACAGGGCACAATGCAAAACGAACCGGTCCGATAAGCTGAGATTTCTACGCGCCTGCACCAAGCTCTTACCTAGCATTGTCATCAGTGCAATTGTCATTGGTTCGACGCCAACATGCACCTGCCAAAGGAAATTAATTCAGACGCCAGCCACCAGTGAGAAAGCGAAGACAGGAACGGTCCTTTCTTTTAACTTTGCAGCTACTGTGTGAAGACGGTTGCAATGTACATTTCAAATAAAAACAAACAAGTTCACAGCCCCCAGCGGCACACAAAACCAAAACGCCGTCAGCAACCAAGCACGCAAGAGGTCCAAATTGAAGGTTGTATGAACTGCAGAAAAGGGACCTTGTGCAGTTACTACACGTTATCCAGGCAAAGACTGCATGCAAACGCATACTGAAATGTCCAATGTTCATTCACAACACTCAAAACGCGCGTAAGTGACAGAAGCGAATAAACCAAAAGGCGGACCCTGACATAAAGCCGCTACACGGTCGTCAGCTGAGCCAACCTCAGCAGGCAGCAAGCTTACCAGCGCGTGAGTTTGCATTTGCTTCAGGATAAGCACAGCACAGAATCCACCAACAGAAAGTACACCGATAAGCCCGTAAAGAAGGCGACGACGCAGCGAAGCCCGCCGTACCAGCTGTTGTTGCAACAAAACTGCTGAATGTCACCCAAAATAGAAAACAAGTTGCCATCCATCAGCAGCAAAAAAACAACAAGGCATGTTCATACGAATTGTTTTTGGGACAGAAAGCAGAAAAGTTGTTCTTCATCAAGGTCTGTGATCGAAAAAAAAAAAAAAACAACAACAACCTTTGGCTTGCTGTGTGACCACATCACTTTCTCGAAACACTTTCCAAGCAAACTGTTCAAATCTTTTTGTCTCCTACGCATCGGCCGCAAGCGCAAAAAAATGGTTTTCTTTTGACTGTCAAATCTATTTTTTGCGTGGACAACAGAACAAAGGGTCCAATTGCGTACTTTCAGTGCGGCCGCCACCGGCCCGGGTTGCAGCCTGTTAAGTTAGCCTGTTCATTTTTTCTCTGCGTTGCTCAGTGGCCCAAAATGCAGATGAGTCAACAAGCGTGTTCAACTTACGTCTTCTGCATCCCAGGCGGAGCCTGTTTATAGAGCACTTGAATTTTGTTGAAACAATGCCCCAAAACCAATTGCCAAGATATTGGTGCGCGCGTGCAATGCTAGCAAAGATCGTTTTGCTTGCGACCCGTGGCCATATTTTTCCCGCGCCGTCTTCAGCATGTTCGCCGGTCGATTAAACCGAGAATCACACGCTACAAGAATCTTCCAAGAAGCGACGGGCAAACAAATTTGCTGGAGATCTCCGGCAATGGCTCCATCGGATGTTCAAAACACCCTACTTCTGGGGCCAAAGTCCGGGCGCGCGGCGCCGAAGGCCAGGTACACAGCATAGCGCTCAGGCGGCGTCTTCCCACATGCCGTCACAAAGCACCGACAAAGCGGCCATCACCCAAAGGCAAAAGCAAGGAGGTCCTACGCCACCGCACACTAGTCGGGGTTCTTATTGCAAAAAACGCATAAATTGCGGACACGCGCAAAGTTTGCAGGAGCATTGCTGTCGCCGCCGCGCGACTGCCCCACCAAGGCCAGCAGCCGCTGGCGCACGGCGTTGGGCGTGAATTTTGCGTCGAAGACGCGCTTGGACGCGGCCGCCAGCTGTTCGACCAGGTCGTCCTCGGCAAGTGCGGCGCGCCGTCCGTCGAGGGCGCTCTGGAGCGTGGTCTCGCTGGCAAGAGCACGGCGTTCGTGGCGTACGAGGCCAGCATCGGCCTTGGAGCGCCGCGGAGATGTACTATCGGAATCTCCACTGCATCATCCAGGCTTCAACGGTGTCCTCACGGCAGTGGGGGAAGCGCCTCTTCCAGCGGCCACCTCCAAAATTATCCCAACCTGGCCAGAATGGTTAAGGCATGTTGCACTGCTCCTAGCTTGAACCCCAAAAGAACAATGCAAGTCCGAGGCGGCCGCAGTTCTTTTTACCGGGATTGTTAAGGCATGTTGCACTGCTCCTAGCTTGAACCCAAACAAGACCACCCAAACAGGGATCCTTACATTATACACCTGAACATTGCCTTGTACATGGTGGTTTCCCTTTATTTCGGTGGAAAAGCCATGTTTCACATGGGCAAAATGTATCTTTTAAGAAGCCCTGCCAAAAAAACAATGCAAGTCCGAGGCGGCCGCAGCTCTTTTTACCGGGATTGCTGAAAGTAGCACTGCCTCGGCACCGCCGCGCAGGGAGTCTGGAGCACGGCGCGCCTGGACTTCTCGGCGCCGCCGGGCGGAGTCGCGAAGCTGCACTTCGGCGCCTTCGGCGGGTCGATTCCCCGGGCTGGCGCAGCAGTCGGCGGGCACGCTGGACCTGCACAGCCTGCAGATCAGGGCCAGCGCCTTCGAGGGAGAGTCGGTCTCCGTGACGGACCTGCTGGCCGACTCGCTGGCCCTCACGGGCTCGGCCACTCTGGACGGGCTCACCGCGCAGGGCAACGTGGGCTGCGACCAGCTGCTGTGCAACGACGTGAACTGCACGGACGTGTTCACGACGGGCGTGGACGCCTCGGGCGCAGTCTCCTGCGCAGCGCTCACAGCAACTGTCCGGAGCCACGCTGACGTCCACCGGCGCCGTGTCGGGCAGCTCGCTGAGCATCACCGGGGCGGCCAGCGTGGGCCTGCTGACCTCGGCCACCGAAATCACCGGCAGCACACTCACCATCAACAACACGGCTAACGCCGGGAACTTCACCACGGTCGGCGACGTGTCCACGGGCACCTTGACGGCCTCCGGCGCAGCGACGGCGGCGAGCTTCGCAGCCACCGGGGCGCTCACGGGCGCCACGCTGACCATCACCGGGGCGGCCTCCGCGGGCCCGCTGGACTGCGACGAGCGGCGGAGTGTCGACGGGCAGCGTGGTGTGCGGCGACGTGACAAGCTCGGGCACGGTCTCCGCGCCGCAGCTCTTCGCGTCCAACACGCTCACCGTGACCAACACCTCCGACTTCTCGGACGATCTCTTCTGACGAAGAACTGGGCGGGCTGGAGCAAGGTGCAAGTGTTCAACAACAGCGCGGCGTCCGACAGCGGTCCGGAGCTGCGGCTGCTGGGCAATCAGAGCGCGCGTGTCTTCCTGGAGCGAGACGGCGGGGCGCGCCAGTGCGAGCTCATCATGATCAACGAAGAGGCGCTGGTGCACACGAAGAGCCTCTCGACGCAGCTGTCCTTGACCACGAACCAGAGGAACCCCGGCTGCCTGGTGATCGCCGCAACACGGGCAACGTGGTCTGCAACACGAGCTTCACGAACTTGTCGGACAGCCGGGTGAAGCCGACGTGGCAGAGCTGCTGCAGCTCTTCGACTCCGTGGAGGCCAAGCAGTACAAGCGCCCGGACATGAACGGGGACCTGAGGCTGGGCTTCGCCTCGGACGACTTTGCAGGAACGAAGTGGAAGAATTTGACGGGTGGAGCGACGGCACGGAGATGGTCACCCTTGACTACTCGCACCTCACCAGCGTCTGGGGGGTGCGCAAGGGCTTCCAGGCCCGGCTGGACGCCGTGGAAGCCTGGCAGGCCCAGCGCGGGCTGAAGAACAAGTAAACATGGAGGCGCTGAGAGATCTGGCCGACGACTTCAACGTGTGGGACCCGCGGAAGCTGTACCGACTTGCGAGTGACCTCGACGTGACGCAGGCCATGGTCTTCGAGGCGCTGAAGGCCGACGTGGGCCGGCAGGTGCAGGCGCCCCGGCCGCGCGTGGGCAAGCCAGATCCTTGCCCCAGGAAAGTGTGTTCTGCACAGCCTGGCAGCTGACACTCAGGACCCGGACTTCCAATTCGCCCTGGGGTCACAGACCCACCACTGGTGTCTCCGGGCATCTGGCCGCTCAAGAATGAGCTAAAATGCTCAAGCTGACTTCCTCGGCGGCCTTCCGCTGCGTGCAGGCATGGCTTCTGGAGAAGCCCGCCGCGTGGGCGGACGAGGACGCTCCCTGCGCCCAGCGGCCTCCCTGCGACATGCAACGCAAGCGGCCTCGCGAGGACGCGCTGCTTGAGGCCGAGCGCTCGCACCATCGCGCAGCTCGATTGGGAGCTCCTCGGCGAAACTCTGTGCCGTGTGGAGAGAACAGAAATCTCCGCCGGCGGGTGGACGGCCTCAACAATATCATCGACAGAGAGCGCAAGCGAGCTAGGGAGCGCGTTGAAGAGCTGGAGCGCAGCAACAGAATTCTCCGCCAGCGGGTGGCGCACCTCGGCGAGATCCTCGTGCGAGCGCTCAGATGAGCTCAAGGACGCGCAAG